ATAATAATAATAATAATAAATATAATAATAATAATAATAATAACAATAATAATAATATTAACAACAGCAAACATTATTATACTTCCTTGTTCCACTGTAAAACTTTTAAAAAGACAAAAAAAAATCTAAAGATCTAAACAACTATATGTGACATAACTTATCAAAACTCAAATTTTCTGCATCACAGACGTTACGTTATAGTTACAAGCTACCCCAGTTTTGTCAAATTTCGAATCTCCATGTTGATCTCATAACTAACGACACAAAATCATCTACCAGTAACTAACTCCTTTATAACTAAAAAAAAAATTTTTTTTGAAGAGTGATGGTATCCACCGGTCTAATTTCTTGCCCTGACACCTTCCCCTTGCTATAAATATATTGAATATTCATTGAATTTCGGTTCTAATAGAAAAAAAAAAAAAAAATCTTCAATTTCTTTTTTCTTTCCCCTTTTCTCTCACCCTCTTTTTCTTTGTTTTGCTCAACAATTTTCTTCAACTTTTTTTTTATTAAAAAAAATAAATAAATAATAAATAAAAATTACTTTAGAATTTTCTAATTTATATTTCTAATGATTTTGGCATCAAGATAATATTTATCACTTGTGTATCTAAGTAAAGAAAAAAATCTGTAAGCTACCGAAACTCGGCACTAATTACTCCCTGCACGCAGTTAGTCTGGAAATACATTTATGGCTTATATCAGCTTTCTTGTTCCTAATATTGTTCTAGAAAAGGTTACGGGATGGTTTGAAGTTTGTCACTGTCAGGATGTGAACACTGGATGTGTATATATATACTCATGCATCTATTTGCTAGAACAATGAACACTCATATACATAAATGCTATTAATTAACATTAAACCACAGAATACAGATTAACTGACAGGGGTAAGAATAATTATAACCTCTATTCATTTTATAGTCTATAAGAAAAACATGAAACTAAAAACTAGGGTAAAATATAACTTTTTAATGCAAGAACAAGATTTTATACAGACCACAAAATAAATACAGTGAAAATCAGTGCTAGCCACCACTTACTGAAATCTCTTGGTTTCAGAACAGACACCAGCACACTAACATGCATGGGTCCAGGTACCTAGTGAAGTGTACTAATTTGCAATAAACCAATAACTCCAGTGGCAGACACAATTTGAAAATAATGCTGAAGGTAATTTTTTTTTTCATCACAAAAATAAAATCCAATCCCTAAAGTCATGAATAACACATTACCCATGAAATCTACAAAGATATCTAGCCTTTTCCTTGCTGTGTGCATAATTTGGAAAGATCACACTACAATGCCTATAAAGAAACACAAAGTGGACATTGAAGTGTTCCACACAGACATGTGATGGTGAACACTACTGTGGTTATGAACAGCAATCACATCATAGTCTCTTTTCAAATAAATTTTGAAGAGGTTAGCATTGAGAATAGTGAAAGTGTGCATGTGCTGTAGGATTCCAAGGATTTAAATTATAAATTGGTGTTACATTGACATGCTTCAGGTGTGGATTGATTTTTAATTTATCTCAGACTTCCTTAGTAATAATGCATATTCAATGGAGTCCATAATATAAGCAAGTCACCATTCTCGAGCTAAACCAGTGTTTCTTGTGCTCATGAAGAAGCTATTTTTTTCTTTTCTTTTTTTTACAGCAATGTCTAGTCAACTTCAAAAATGTCAATTGGGTAATGTCAACAACCTTAAATATGATATTCATTCATTTATTCTGAGTTTCAAAGTTAGTGTAAAAAAGAATCACATAAAATGTTCAAGTAAGTATAGTTACAGATTTTAATATTAATAGAATCTAATATTAATGACCAAACATTCATTAAAGCCATAGATTGAGAAGTACCAATAGTTATGGAATACGAAGACAATATTAGATTTGAAAATCTTATTACCAATTTGAATATTTGTTATTATAACAACTGCAGAAGATTACAGACAGATGTATTTCTTGAAGTTAGTGTTCAAGTGAATCTAAATCATGGTATTTGTTCCATAAAAGTAGTTTCATGAATATATATTGTGTTTTAAAATGGGTGCTGGGATGGACAGCAAGAGATGGCTGGTAGCGTCATAATCACAATAAACCTTATTGCTGTCTTAAACCAATGTTTGAGGCCAAGACTCCACCATATGACTATATGTTTAAGTCTGTGATGATGGTGCTCAATGTTTGGACAGAAAACTATTATCCAGACACTTAATCACTTTAGTATGCAAACGTTAGTACCAAAGTTACAATACTACCCACAGAGATCTCCGAAGCTATGTTTAATGTCAGGAGTTCACAATACTTATCGCATAGGAAACTTTCAGTAAAGGTATCCCAGACCATGCAATACTATGACCCAGAAGAAAACAGTCTCAGAGATCCTACCCGTCCATGTCTCCTTACACTGATGGAGGAGTTGCCCAGTTTGCGCAAAGTGGACTGAATCAAATTCTGTGTGTATTGAAAAAATAATGATATACATACTCATGACAGGAAGCACAAACACTGATATTCTTAAACTGCTTGTGTGGCTGACAGCATATCTCTTAATATGAACAAAAGACATATGGAAAAAATTAACTGAACTTTGCATCATACCAAAAATAACAATCTGAAGAGTTCCTCTTTTCAAATGAATTGAGAGCTGAAACATAATCATGCATCTGGAAGAGCTATAAAGGTCTGGCAATATCAGAAGTATGGCTGTGTTTTTAAGACACCAATTACCAGTCTCCTATCAGTCTTATGGATGCACTTGTGTGCTACCTGCCAAGCTGCAAGGCTGACCACTTATTTAATCTTTGCTGATGTATTTGTCAGAAGACATCACTTTGAATTTTCTCTCTGTACACAGCAACATCAAAATTAATGCTAATCCCATTCTCACATAAATTACTATGGGACTATCTATTGTTTTCATTATAAATGCAACATAGCCTATTCTTGCTGAATTTCTTCAAGTTTAATGGAGCAAAAACCTGGAATTGCTGGACACTCTCCTTTCAAAGAAAAAACCTGGAATTGCTGGACACTCTCCTTTCAAAGGAGTCATATGTACTGCAATCTATTATAAATTTCATCCAGACAAATGGTCACAATGTCTACCTTCTCAAACATATCCTATTCCAGGGCCCTCGGGATGGTCACAAAAAGCCAGAGGGTTGACAAAAATAATAATTAGTCTGTGAACTTATAAGTGTCATGAAGGAAACTAATGTATGATTAAGATATGACTACGCCAATACAATATCTACTCAACAAAATTAATTTATATTTTCAATGCTAGCCATACACCACTATTATAAGGTGCAAAGGCACATAACTATCAAAGATGAAAATCAAGCACATTGCATGGAAGTTTATATTCTGCATGTATATGATATCATGTCAAAGTACAGCTCTTATGTTCAAAAATGAAAATAAAATTGTACAAGTAAAATCTCTAATGCACACATGCATACACATATGCGCACACACATTTTGTCACTACTAATGTCACCATTATAAATTCAGTATGTAAAATAAACCTCACATACAGATGCTTGATATCATACAGTTTTTAACATTTTTTATATTGGCCCTCTAGATGGTAGCTGCAGTGAAAAATGGCCTTTCAAAGGTTTTTTACTTTGACACTCCTGATGTAATTGTTCCTTCATAAGGTCCTTTATGAATCCTGTCAAAAAATCTACCAACTATATGGAAATTGTTTTCTGTGCTTGCTTTCACCTTCAAAAATGCATATTTTTAAATTAACTACCAACAAAAACTGAATGTCTATTGATATTGGTGATTAACCATGGCTAATATTTTTCAAAGGCCTCTTTGGTCTCAAGCAAGAGAGCAACCCACAAACAGACAACAAAATAATCCATTGCATGACATCAGAAAAGAGACAGACACAACTCGTGTACCTCTCCTCTCATTCAAAAATGCATACCTACTTTCTTCTAAAATCAGCTTCTCTGATTGGCTTTTCTTAATATACTTTACTAGGAAATATACTAGAACAAAATAATGATTGCATAAAATAAATCACATACCATTTAAAATCGGAATTACAAAGAAACCATGATATATATATTTGTTCATACAATCCACCAGATGAAAAAAAAAATGTAGAAGAGAACATCGGTTTTAAAAAGAGTATTTGTTTCCAACAATCAACACAAAGTACATTAATTCCATTAAGGATATGTGCTTGAAAAATTTAAAACATTAATGAGTGATACACCATAAAGGTAAACCCATTTAATGGAAATGAAGTGAACACTTATACATTTAACATTAATATATAGAGAGAACAGTAAACATTTTTAGGTCCGACTGGCTGGGCCTAGGAGGTCAGAACAGCTGGCTCAACCGTCATTTAGGACTAAACAAACTATCTTCTACAAACTACAATATAACAAATAAATTGGGTAACATATAACTTTTTTAAATAAACCTTATGATGATCATTTTCTTGCAAATCAATTACAAAAGAATACCCAATAATGTTCATCCTTAAAAAAATTAATTTTAATAAAAAAGAACTTTGATATAACTATGACTGTGTTTACTGTGATTTATTTGAAAATATTACTAATTCATTTAGCTTTATATATATATATATATATATATATATATATATATATATATATATATATATATATATATATATATATATATATATATATATATATATATATATATATAAAATATATATATATGAAATATGTATATATAAAATATATGTATATCAAATATATGTATATTAAATACAATTAAATAAGCCATAATTTCAAATTGAAAAATGGTGTAAAATAGAAAGAAAGAAAGAAAAAAAAAAATGTTTTTTTTTTTTCTCATCCTGAGTATTTCAGAGTGAGAATTTTTTTGCAGACTAAATTCTTGCCTTTATCAGACAGAATCACAAGGCAGTTAGACAGCACTGTGCTTCCTCCATAAACTTTTAACTGCTATTTCACCGATCAAATTCCAGAGGTTACAGTCCTGGCTGATTTCCAAGATTTGCTGTTAATAGATGCACTTTTATCATGATTCAAGCAAAGATTCATATAAATCAGAAGCAAGAATCTTAATGCATGATTATAGCTCTCAAGTCATGAGAAAAGCAGTTCATTATCATTAGCAATTCATACATTCAACTAGTATTAGCAATCAAATGAACAGATAAGCTATTCGATTTCTATATATTTCTTCTCTAGCTTCCTGGCAACGAAATGGGTATTTGCTACGACACAATCAGTCATTTCAGATTTTTTAGAAGCAGACTAACTTTTGCAGAATGTCACATCGCTGGCACAAAAGGGGATGAGCAATCTTAACACACATTGTGAGTGCATGTATTTGTGTGTGTGTATGTGTGTGTGTGTGTGTGTGTGTGTGTTGGGGGGGTTAAGAGGGAATTGAGGGATGGCTATGAATAACAGCAAGAGTGAAAGTGAGTGAGAGAGAGAGAGAGAGAGAGAGAGAGAGAGTGTGTGTGTGTTAGTGTGTGTTAGTGTGTGTTAGTGTGTGTTTGTGTGTGTTTGTGCGTGTGTTTGTGTGTGTTTGTGCGTGTTTGTGTGCATGCTTGTGTGTGTTCTCAGGTGTGTGGGTGGGTGGGTGTTTGTGGGGGTGGGTGTGTGTTTGCAGAAACGGGAGTGGTTGTGGGTGCATGTTTGTTTTAACTTCAAATCTTTCAATAACCAGTGAGATTGCAACCTTATATGGGGTATTTCCTTCAGTGACAAATAGTAAAGGTCACAAATTTCTCCTTTCTTTAAAAAAACAAACAAAAAACTTTCAACTTCCATACCGTCCTTCCAACTTTAGCCAAAAAAAGGGGTCCTTTAACCCGTGAACTACGATAACTTTGAGTGCATTTGGAACACACAAAACATTAATGCATTAATTAAAACTCTTGCCAAGCAGTTGTAATCAATCAATGCATTTTAAAACCACATGCATCATTCTGTCACTATCAACAACATAGGCAGAGCATGAGAAAAAGCTTTGCAAATGTAAAATAAAATCAAAGGTGGACTCTTCTGAGTGATGACAACCTCAGAAAATTAACTGCAGTAGATTAAACTATGCTTTGGGGATAATGTTAGAAGTTCTTATTGAGTGAAGGAAAACATGCTCTTTCCACTGCTCTTGCACCTATTCCACCATATGTTCAGATGTCCAACACCAGCACACACTACCAAACAATAAATGTACTACAAAACTAGTACGCTCTATCCCCAATGCACTCTGATACAGGCTACTCCCCTTTTGTAACTATTCCAGACAAAAGTCTCATTTGCTCTCTGAATATTCATACCTAAATCTTTAATTTTTTCAATTAAAAAAAAAAAAAAAAAAAAATTGACATAAAATAAAAAATAAACTGTACAGTTCTCAGGTTATATTAGAAAAAAAAAAAAGCAAAACACTTGGGAAAGGACATCACACAACACTTTGAAATCATACGCAACATATACCCATGAAATGACAGAAAGAACATGATGCACATGCCCTACTCTTTCTTCTTCAAAATATCTCAAAGAATAAGTGCAAGGACTTTTATTTACATTTATCACTATCTTCACATATCCTCTCTTTGTAATAATGTAATCCTCTGGGGGTTTGTTAGAAAATAAACCATATTTCATATTAACTACACTGTCTTAATAAGTTTTCATCTTGTCTTTCCTTGCCCCACTTTTTGCCAAAAGCAGCATAAATGTATAAAAAAAATCAAGAGAAAGTGATACATACACCAAATCCAAGATTCCATTTGCTCTCAACAACAATCAACAGAAGAAATAAGTTGAATATACCCTTTCTTGCCAGGAAGACAGACAAGACTTATAACTACAAGAAAGGAAGCTCATATTACTTTAACTTCCTTTCCACTCAGCAGTGTACCATGTCCAAGCTACAGTGAGGCAAATAACCAGTGTTGCTGTATTGTTTTCTATGTGATAACTTTTCTTTTCTAAAGTAATAATAATACTAAAGCATTATTATTCATACCTACAAGATAAGTAGTGTAAATCAGTCAAAATATGACTAAATTACTATACTCAATTTTCTTTTCTTTTTCTTTTTACTTTTTTTTTTTTTGCTGTTGTTGTTGAGCCCGAGTTGTACTTGAGAGGCTTGAAATGTCTCATTAAAGTCATTGGATTACAAAATACTTCAAATAACAATCATTCTCAATTGGTCCCTTTGTCACACAGTTATTACCAGCCAATCAAGTGCACTTCTGCTCTGACAACAGAAACTCTGAGTTATAGGCTACCCTCAATTCCAGCTAATAATACAAATAATAAAAAAATATATATATATATACCACACACAAATAAGCAGTTTAATTGCTAACAAAAACAAAATGAACAAAGAGAAAAAAAGAAAACCGAACAAAATAAGGCCGTAACATTACCTGATGGTATTGAACAGCTTCTCGTGTTGGCGTCCACTCGTCCTGCTGTGTCTCCCACTCGCTCACG